CTTCTCTCTCTCTCTCTCTCTCCTTCTTCTCTCTCTCTCTCTCTCTCTCTCTTTCTCTCTATGATTAAATTTACGAATAAATCGAGAGGTACACGAATGAATAATGTATTTCAATTATGAGATTCGCTTGTTTAAGTTCCTTTAAAGATGTGAATTTTTTATTTCGTCCGTGTGAGAGGAAGGAGGGGGGGAAGCGTGCGAGCTCGGATGATTTCGCGGGATTAAATAAATAACGCGATTACAACAGTTGGAAATGCAATTTCGCGTGATGGTTCGTGAACAAAGTTTTGATTTCGATTAACGTAACGTTTCGAGGAGGGTCGAGGAGACCACCGATCTCTCGATCGATACGATTCATTTAGAATAATCCGATGAAAAATCGAGGGTGAAACTTTTCGTCGTGTACGATGTTTTTAAATAGCGGAGAATTTATTGAGAAACGAATTTCTTTTCAAGATCTGCTTGCGACGAGTTTTGAAATTTTTCTTCGCTTAAAGATCGATCGATCGAGGTGAGGATAAGGGACAAGCGATCGAGAATCTCTCTGGAAGGAGGAGGAACGCAATATCTATTCTCTGGTAAGAAGGCGGTCGAAAATACGAGCATCGCTCTGATATTTCTCGAGCCGTTGTGCGAACGCGAAACGTACACGCTCTCGTGACTTTCAATCGTCGATTGAGCACGCGACTCTGTGAGAAGAAAGCGCGTGCAGAGACGTCGATATCCTCTCTGCTCCTCCCGCAAGAAAAAGGAGAAATTTCCTCTTTTTCCATCCACACTGTAGATAAGGCTCGCGAGATTCCACCCGGGAATCGTTGCGGAATTCGCATTTTAATGGAGCAACCGAAGGACCCGTTGGTCGCCGGTTAATGGCGACCGTTTCAAACTTTGCCACTCCTCGTTCCAAGATTAATCCTCCTCCTCCTCCTCGATACGAGAGAAGAGCGAAGCGGATAATTTGATTAGTCGAGGAAAATACGCGAGTGAAATTGCATTTTAAAGAGCAACGTTCTCCAACGTTCTTGCAACGACCTCTCAAAAATCACAGGTTCCTATCGTTGTTCCTATTTTTATCTATACAAAAGTTACAAAATTTCCCCTTCTCGTTTGAACGACGTTTATAAACCCCGAGACGGATGAAATTACGTTTTAAAGTGCAAATAAAAGATGTCTCGAGCTCTCTCCTCGATTCGTTGCGAATCCTATTCCATCGGTCGAATAAGTAAAAAAAAAAATTCATCGATAATTATTAATCGAAACGATTGCACGACGCTCGTCGAAACGCGAATCTCGCCATTTACAACGTCCGATAATAAACGCGAGTTAATTGCAATTGTGATTTGAACATCCATTCAACTCCCCCCGCCGCCCCTGAAGGGCTTTATTCGTTCCAACCGCCAAGCGTAGAAAATACAATTTCGATGATATTGCACGCAGGAATCCCGTACTCTCGTCGATCGAGAGCCCTCTCTCTCTTCCTCCATCGATAATTTATTTATCTAACCAGTGTGCACACTTAATCGCGTTTCTAAACCCGCGCATTCCCCAACCAGGCAACAAATACACAATCCACTCCCAAATCTCAAATTTTCCTCCTCACTCGAGGAAAATCGATCCGCAAAGGATTTGGCGGCCAATTAAAAATCCACGACGCATCGATCCCGCGCGTTCCAATTGCAAAGTCGAAAAGGATGATCGCGGATAAAAAAGCTCGGCGGAGAAGGGAAAAACGCGTGGATGAATTGGAGCGCGACACCCTGGAGCCAGATACGACACCGCTTCGTGGTCGATTCGTGGCGATCGGCTTTGCACGCGCGTGAATCCTATCCGGGCAACCGTAGCAACGCGCCCCCAGATCCCGCTCGGTAATTTTGATTAGCGAGTCGCGACGCGAACGAGGTCGCGGCACGAGGGGAATTCGCAAAGGGCAGTCACGTGTAATAGCCACTCGAAATCCACGTTTGCTCGGCTGGAAAGAGGAGGA